ATGGAGGGTGGGAGGGTAGGGCTGCCCTTTATCATCGAATGTGATAGTTGGCTGCTCCTTTGGCAGCTGTGTGCCCCTTACCACCAGATGCTGACCTGACTCTCCTCATGGCTTCCAGACACCAACATTGGCTGTTAGGTATACTGGGAATGTCGCTTTCCTCTTCCTTTTCTTCTTCTTTTCTTCCCCCACCCTCAAGGTTCCATGTTGATACTAAAAGCTGGTTTATGAGCTAGAGAGGTTGCTCAACTTGTCGAGTGCCCGTAGAGCACGCACCAAGTGCTGGGATTAACTTTTAATCCCAGCACTTGGGAGGCAAAGACAGGCAGATCTCTGTGAGTTCGAGGCCAGCCTGGTCTATAGAGCAAGTACCAGGACAGCCAGGGCTACACAGAGAAACCCTGTCTTGAAAAAAACCAAAATATAAAAAAAGCAAAACAACAACAACAAAGATGTATCTCTGGCTGGCATAGTACTCACCATTATGGCAGGCTGATCTTGAGCTCAGGGCAATCCTCCTGCCTCAGGCTTCTGAGTGCTGAGATTATGGGTGTAGGAGAGCACACTTGGTCTTTAGTTATTTTAGAGACAGTCATGTGAAACTATTTTCTTTGATTCATACATTCCCTCTGGAACAAGGAGAGAGCTCCTGGCAGACAAGAAGCTAATGAAATTTATAAGGCTCAGGAAGCCGGGAAGGTTACAGGTTTCCCAAGGCTCCTTTGTAAGCATATCTAATCAGTAAGCAGTTGCTAAGGGAGAGGAGATTCTCTGGTGGTGCTGACTGCAAACTGGACAGGACACTCCAGGGACACAGTGTCACCATGCTGGAGTTGGCTTTTCAGATATGCAGTTATTTTGAGCCATCCAAGCTCCTATAAGTAACTGTTCACCCACACTCCTGTAAATAATTCCAACAAACTCACAGATTCACCAAGTTAGGCTTGGACAGAATCTTTTTTTGGTCTGACATTGGTGTCTCTCCAGGAACAAGTCACACAGTACAGGGTCTCATCATGTTGCTGACCTTAAGCTCTTAAGTCCAGCCCACCCCCACCCTCACCCCCACCCCCACCTCCATCCCCATAACACACTTCCCTCAGTAAGGCCACATCCACTCCAACAAGGCCACAATCCTAATCCTTTCAAATAATGCCATTCCTTATAAGCCTATGGGGGTCATTTTCATTCAAACCACCTCACTGCTGAGCCTCCTCTGTAGCTGGGCTGTATGCCCAGCTAGAGCCATAGACATTTCGATACCACTTCACGCCAAGGGTTATTACTTACCACGAGGAATAGTGTTCCTGATACCGTCAGAACAGAAAGTAATCCTGTTTTACAGTCTTCTTCTGAGAGTTTCTTTCCAGGGACTACCTCAAGAAAAAGTGGGGTGCAATGGCCGTATGTTGAGATGGGAGACACTGATTCTTTGTGAAATCAATTGTTCACTGTAGAGAGTGGGACAAGCCTGGAGCAGCCTGAGAGACATGGAAATGACATTAAGAGTTGCCTGATCCATGGCATAGGATAGATTTTCTTTCCAAAGCAGGCTTCCTCCATTTGCATTTATTGATGACCCGTTGATGGATGGGTCTGGCCCTCCTTCTGGCATCTTATTTCATGTTCGGTTTGCTTTCCCTCTGAGTGCGTCCTTTGTTTTCTCTCCGTTGCTCTGTGGTGTGCACGTGTGTTTTCTCCAGGCTATTTCACTGCATTGGTGGCAATTTATTTAGCATGCTATTTCTTCTGGAACCACCAGACGAAGCATCAGTATGAAATGTGTCAGATATGCTAAGCTGTGACCCAATGCATGAATGTGCTCCTGTATGTTTTACTCCAGACAGATTTTGACAAAGTCTATTTTCTTCAGGGAAGGTGTCTGGGGGGAGGGGGTCATATTGGTGTGTTGTAATTACATGCATTGCTTTAGGAAAAAAACATTCCTGAGAGAATTTCAATTTTTGACTAGGGTTAATGAAAAACAAATCTTTCAGTCACGATTTTACCTGTTGACTGGAAGAAATTTCTACACACTAGCTTCTGGGTCATTTTTTTTAAGTTAAAAATTTTTTTTATTTATTTTATTTATTTATTTATTGTTTTTCGAGACAGGGTTTCTCTGTGTAGCCCTGGCTGTCCTGGAACTCACTCTGTAGACCTGGCTGGCCTCGAACTCAGAAATCCGCCTGCCTCTGCCTCCCAAGTGCTGGGATTAAAGGCGTGCGCCACTACCGCCCGGCTACAATTTTTATTTATTTTTATGTGTATGAGTGTTAGCCTACATGTATGTCTGTGCACCATGTGCATGCCTGGTACCCATAGAGGTCAGAAAAGAGTGTCAGATCCCTGGAATTGAAATTAGAGAGGATTGTGAACTTCAATCTGGGTTCTGGGGACCAAACCTAGGTCATCTGGAAGAACAGTCAGTGTTTGTAGTCACTGAGCCATCTCTCTAGTCCCTGTTGTCCTTTCTTAAAATAGGATCTCATTCTGTAGGTCAGGCTATCCAGAAACTCACTAGGTACCCCAGGCAGGCTTTGAGACTGTAGTAATACTAAGTCAGGAATCTCAGGCGTGTGCCGCCCTGCTCACCTCACAGAGTCTCCGTACTGGGATGGGAGGATGCTCTCTGGTATGCTCTTTCTTTCTCCTTGTGATCTCTGCTTTGCTCCTTGATGTCATTTGCTTTGTGTCCTGCAGCAGATAAGTGGGCACACGTACAGGAGGGTATCGATGTCCAAGGTGACTGATGACAACTCCGTTAGACAAGAAAAGAGACCCCACGCTGTCGGTTCCACCAACCCTCAGCAGACTCGTTTCGCCCGATCTTGCTCCCTCATCACCTGACGTGGGCAGAAGGAGAATCCTGGCTGAAAAGGAAATAATGGTCTTCATTTTAAAATGTGACTAACTGCCTGGCCTGGTGGCACACACTTATAATCCTAATACTCAAGGGGCAGAGGAAGGTGGATCTCTGAGTTCCAGGTCAGCCTGGTCTACATAGTAAGTTTCAGGCTAGCTAAGGCTACTTAGTGAGACCTTGTCTCAAAACAAAACAAAACAAAACAAAACAAAACACAACAACAAAAGCAACCAACCAAAAAACAAAACAAACAAAAAAACTAGAAACCACCATCTCCAAAACCAAACAAACAACCCCCTCCCCATGACTAAGGGCTGAGGAAGTGAATTCAAATGTGCAAATTTACTTTTTAAAAAATTTAAAAATTATTATTGTTTGGGGATTTTGAGACAGACTCTCACAATGGAGTCCTGCTAGCCTGGTACCCACTATATAGCCCAAGCTAGCCTGGTACCCACTGTATAGCCCAAGCTAGCCTGGTACCCACTGTATAGCTCAAGCTAGCCTCAAAATATAAGTACTGGGATTACAGACATGGACCTCTGTGATCAGCAAAGGCGATGCCATTTTTTAAGTTATTTAGATTTTATCATCTATGGTTTAGGCTGGGTATGTAGCTGAGTGATTGAACACTTGTTTGGTATATACAACCCCCCCTGGGTTCTATTTTCAGCACTGTTAAAATACAATTTAAGTAGCTACGTATAGCTTCCACAGAGGGCAGTACAAATTTAGAGCCTGTGTGAAGGGACAGTGACCCAAGAAAGGGAAGGAAGAGGAGGCAGAGGAGTCAGGTGCCTGTGAGCCCAGGACTTTCCAGAGGTAACAGAGGACAGTCCTGCCCTGAGGATCTTTGTCTTTCTTTCTGGGAAATACAGAGCTGCCTGACAGGTTGGACACAGGATGAGACTGACTAATCACAGATACCCTACCTAGGGTCTGTTATATTTTTAGGGATCCACAAAACTATATTTTTGGAGCTGTGGATGTAGCTTAATCAGGAAGACTGCCTAACATTCATAATGTCCTGGATTGAACCCCCAGACCAAATAATCCAAGTGCAGTGGTGGCCCACACATGTAATCCTGGCTCTTGGGGAGGTATTGTAAGGAGAAAGGGGTTTGAAGTTATCCTTGGCTACACAGTGAGTTCAAGGCCAGCCTGAGATAAATAAAACAATGTCTTTTTAAAAAAATTTTTTTTTTATTTTGTTAAAGGAGGAAGGACTCTCTCGAAAAAAAAAAAAAAAGGAGGAAAGACTCTTAAAAATAAAGTGACTGAGACCACGATGTGTTCTAAAGTGTGGAAGAGAGAGCTTCTTCCAAAGTTTACATCTGACCCTGGACTCTCGGGTATCTCCATTGTTGCTGCGGCAGGAGCACACCTGGCATACCAGAATGTGGCCACCTGCGCCAGAATCTGGCACAAAGGAGCCAATAAAACAAGCCGGCATCCCAATGATTTCCAGGTCAGAGGAGACTCCCGGGTGCAGGCTGAGAATAAAAGGCTTGCAGACACTCTGGAGCAAAGGGCCCTGTGGGGCTAGAGAAGCGATCGATCAGAATCCTTGAGAAGTGGGAGGCAAAATAATGTTATGCCCCCGAGAGCAGGAGAGGGCTAGTTCTATCTTTATAAACCATTAAATACTGACTCTTATTTCTATTTTGCCGAGGAAGAAGTGCAGGCTCAGAAAAGGTTGAGGAACTTGCCGGGATTGCAGAGATTCAGGTTTCCCTTGCTGCAGATCTAACTTCCCTTCCTACCTACTCCATTGAGGAACCACGGGAAGGGCCAAAGGGTAGCGTCCATGGAGACCACTCTGTGGTTCCTCCTGGCTGTTCCCTCTTCTTCCTTCCTGCTCCCCGAGAAAGTATCCTTCCAGAACCGATCCCAAGAAAGAGCTACAATTCCTGAGCTTCAACTGCCGCTTTTTTTGTATATTGATGTGTTTTGAGACAGGACCTCTGTATAGTACAAATGGGGCCCGAACTCTCGATGATCTTTCTGTCTTAGACTATAAGGTCATGAAGGACAGTCATTTCAAAAGTCCCTGTCACTGCACAAGATCTGGCCGTCAGGAATGAGGCTCGGCCCCTTTAAGTCCAAACTGAGAACGCCTCGGGCTGGCAGCACGGTTCCGGGATCTGCTAACCGGGAAAGCTGGTGCTGCGGCGACCTCCAAGCTCCTGTCCCCGAGGTGCCCCGCCCTACAGGCCGGCTGCTTCCTGGAGTTGCCCGGGAAAATGAGCCGCATCTACCACGACAGCGCCCTCCGCAACAAGGCGGTGCAGAGCGCGCGCCTGCCGGGGACCTGGGACCCCACCATCCACCAAGGGTAGGCTGTGCTCTGTCCACCCCGTTGCTGGCCAGAAATGGGTTGCACTTTCTTCCAGGGCTAGCCAGGGGTGGGCTGTGCTCTGTCCACCGGGCCTGGAACTCTGCTGCTGGCCAGAGGGTGGACTGTTCTCTCCCCCCCCCCAACTGCTAGCCAGAGGTGGACTTGGCAGGGGAACTGCCTGGGTTGGCTGTGTGTATGGGGTCCTTGGGGCGCTGGCCCCTGCTGTGGCCGGCGGTGGCCTGGAAGCATCCTTGGGGCCTGGGCTTCTGTCGAACTCTGGATCTGAGTCATGCTCAGAGATTTATCTAGGGAGCAGGGGGCATTGCGGGAGAGAAACTGGGGTTGCCAAGCCACTCCAGGCACCCAGCAGGCACTTCCCGACGTCCATGGCCACTACACACCAGAAAGACAAACTTGAAATTCCCGCCTGCATGCATATCCACCGGACGGACTCCCAGACTCCCAAATGGAACTCCAGAGGCCATTCCCACTGACCTCAGCCCTTTCCCTACAACAGGGCTCCAAACTCTAGCCATTTGTCACACTGCATCACTGGCAACCAGTTTGTGGTGTGACAGGAACAATAGCGGGAGGCTGGGAACATCCGGAAGTACTGGTCTTGCCCAGGGTAATAAGCACTATGGACAATTTTATTTACAGTCAGAAACAACAAGAATTATTCTATACGAAAGAAGCCAGCCCCCCCCCCCCAAAAAAAAAAAAACCATATACCGCATCATCTAGGAAGTGGAATTGAAAGTCCAACTTGTAAGATCTCCAGTGGAGCAGTTTCAGTGGAAGGAGAAAGAAGTTCTGAGGATCTAATGTGTACATAAATTTGATGGTGTGAATCGTTACACAATGTGTGCCTATCAAGTTTTCTTGTTAAACGCCTTCGATATAACCTGTCTTTGTCAGTTAAATATTTTTAAAAAGAATCTGAGAGTATATAGGAGCTAGGAATCCTGACCCAGCCCTCTTCCACCGTCTGTCTTCTTAGACGCACCCTTTTCCCATGTTAATGGTTACAAAGAAGGAAGTCCCCAGGTCCCAGGTTCTGCTTTTGTAAAGTGGTAAGGAGCCAGTTCTGGTTCCACTCTGTGTGGGACCCTGTGATCTTGGGCTAATTCTCACACTTCAGAGTCTCTTATCGTCCATCTGTATTGCAGCAATAACCGTCTCTCGGGTTGATGACCACGTAGGTATGTATGGGAACAGGAACAGAAATGGTTTAAATTGGTGACGCCATGTCTCAGCAGTGAAGAGGGCTTACTGCACTTTCAGAGGACCTGAGTTCAGTTCCCAGCACCCACACCAGGGGGCTCGAAACTGCTTCTAAGTCCATCTGTGTGGGATTTGATTCCCTCTTCTGGACTCCACAGACACCAGTACACACCAGTATACATGCTTACAGACACACATACTTACACATAAATAAAAAATAATACAAACATCCAGGCATGGTGGCTCATAACCTTAATCCCAGTACTTGGAAGGCAGAGGCGGGTTGATCCCTGTGAGTTCAAAGCAGTTTGGTTTACTTAGTGAATTCCAGGACAGCTAGGGATACACAGGGAAACCCTGTCTTAAAAACAAACAAACAAACAAACAAACAAACAAGATGGAAAAGGAAAATAATTTATTATACCATAGACACTTGCTCTGGTTGGGGTCTGGGAATCTCCACTCAAACCACACATACACCAATGTTAGTAAAGCAGGAATAGTTTACTGAACACACGTCATAATACTGGATGTCCAGGTCCACAGGAAGGGAAAACCTACCAGTCTGTCCTCAGGACAGGGTTTTTATAGGAAAAATCAGGTTCAAAAGTTTGAAGGCAAGCATTGAAGTGGTACAACATTTTTGGCTAACTAGACAAAGTATTATCAACCAACCTTTAAGCAGATTGGTTCTGAGCGTGGTCCAAGGGGTTGTGGACAGGTGCTGAACAGGGAATTTCAGAACACTGAGATAACAGGGTACAAGTGATTCAGCCAAAACTTTTTGGCTTATTAGTAACATTCCTTAGTGTCAGCTATGGATAATTACTTCTGAGAAGTAGAGTCTGAGAAACTGAACTTAATTTCACCTTATGAGAAAAATGGACACTGAATACAAAATGGCTACAGTTATGTTAAAAGGAGCAGGCCTCAATACTCCCAACTTTGCATAACTAAAAATGTAGGACCACTTATTTATTTATTTATTTACAGCATTTTGCTATGTATTAAAGGCTTGACTTGAACTCACAGTGTAGCCCAGGCTAGGCTTTGAACTCACAGCAATCCTCTCTCCCTAGTGCAGGGATTACAGGTGTGTGTCACTGTCAAGCCCTGCTGTAAAAAAAAAAAAAAAAAAAGTACTTTACATTTAGTAAGTACTGCATAGTTTACCCTTACCTTCGTGTTCATGACCTTAGGCTAGCCCGGCGCCAGAGCAGCACAATGAAGCAGCTGTTTACTTGTTTGTGGGTGAGACTCCTAAGGGTCGTAATAATTCCCGGAGTGTCTGTGGTGGTGGGGAGGCATCTCATGGCCTTGGCATAGCCTGGGAAGGTTCTCTGAAGCCATGGAAGTTTTGATGGTGGAAGCAGAATGTGGTTGCTCCATTCCAGGCCTTCTCAGAGACAGGTGATGAGGACACTGGGGTGAGACTTGTTTCTGTCTCAGATTCTCACCCAGGCTGTTACACCTGAGGGTGGCTTTCTTGAGGACTGACAACCAGCATTCCTTCCTCCCTTCTCATCCCCAGGGGAAATGGTGTCTTGCTGGAGGGATTGCTTGTGGATGTGTCTCGGCACAGCATCTTGGATGCTCACGGAAGGAAGGTGAGGCCATGTCCTGGTTGGCCCTCGAAGGGTCTCCTCCCTCACCCACATGATATCTCCTTGTGCTGGGTTAAGGTCCAGGCCATTACTGAGGTCACAGAACAGATTGCCACAGCCAAACGGGACCAGTAGAAAGGGGACTTACAAGGCCTGCAGTGAGTAGCAGACAGGTGGGAGGGACTACATGGTTCTTGTAAGAAAGAGCCTCTGATACAACTCAAAAGACAGACAGGCCCCAAACCCAATCTAGCCTGACTATTCAGACCCCATGCTCATGCCCGGGTCTGCAGCTCCTGTATGGCCTTCTGTCTTTGCTTCACAGCCTCCTCAGGATGTGTTCACAGCCCACACAGTCCAGGTGACCAGGAACACTCACAGCAGTCATTCTGTACTCCCTACATCTCTTTTCTGACCTAGTCCTTCTGCCCTCTTTTCAGACAGCCCCTTATAGTGCTGACCACACTGTCTCCTGGTTCTTGGTTTCTAAACCTCAGCTTAGCATCAGGCCCTCCTAAGGTGGGCCATCTGAAACCCATCTCAGTTTTTTTTTCTCAATCTGGGCTGTCAAGGGGCCTCTGAATGGCCTGCATTGCTTAGCTGTGCAGGTGTCCTCTTGACTGGCTCAGCAGTTCAGGCTGGCCTTGAACTCATTGTATGGCAGAGAATGACCTTGACCTTTCCAGTGTTGGGATCACAGGCATGGGCCACCATACCAGGTTTGTGCAGCTGCAGCGCTAGAGATCAAACTCAGGGGTTGCTGTATGCCAAGCAGGCATTTGACATCTCGGACTTGTTTTAGGCCTTTAGTGTTCTTCCTACATTCTAGTTTCACACCTGCAGGTTGCTCTGTTCTTTGGGAATCTACCCTTTATGGTTGTCCCAAAAGAACTATCTGCTTCTTTTGTCTCGGGGCACTGTTCCCATGTCTACTTTGATGAGAACAGTTGACCAATAACTTTTCAGCACATTTATTGCTTTGCAAGGTGTCCCCTCTCCCATTTTGTCATCAGTTCCTTGGAATGTCCTTGAAAAGACATGTCATGCTATTCCCAGATAGGGGAAACTGAGGCATACAGAGCTTGGAGTGATTTGCCCTGCTGCTATGTCTGTGTGAGTAGCAAAGTGATTGCCGTCCTTTAGGTCGTGGCCTTTCTGAAGCTTGCTGGCAACTTTGATCCCGCCTTGTGGCCTGTAGACACCTTGGTGCTTGGACTATAGTTACAGCCCATTGGCTGTGGAAGCTTGGAGTCAGGCCTTTTGTTGCCCTGCAATGGCTTTTGTAGCACACTATGCATGACAGGTACTCTAGAAGTATAGGTAGGAGTGAACGAGTATTTAAATGAGGTGTCTGCCCAGCCTGTGCAGCACTGGGGATGGGATTCTGGGGCAGAGGATGGGGTGAGCGGAGGCTGCAGGGAGAACCTGGGCTATGCATTTTGGGTATGCTGGGATTGGGGTGGGGAATGAAGTAGTCCCCTGACCCCTTCTTTGCCTCACCCAGGAGCGCTACTATGTGCTGTATATCCAGCCCAATTGTATCCACCGGCGTAAGTTTGACCCCAAGGGAAATGAAATTGAGCCCAACTTCAGTGCCACCAGGAAGGTGAACACAGGCTTCCTCATGTCATCTTACAGTAGGTATCCTGGGCTCTTCCTTCCCAAGAGACTCTTAGACTGTCTTGTTCGTCCCCGGAGGTTCTTAAAAGTGGCTTCTCAGCACAATTGGCTTTGATGCTGTTTCTGGCTTGAGCATCTCTTGTTGGATTTCTTCCCCCCAACCCCTCAGAATTCCCCAGTGTCCCATTTTAGTCCTGGGAGCCAGGCTGGCATTCCTAACAGCATCCATTTCCTGAAGTCTGGCAGAATCATCCCCAGGCTTGGCTTTGGGCTCTAAGTATCATTCTGTGGAAAGCAGGCCAGGTCCCAGCAGTCTCTGTTCTCCCACCCGGATGTTTGCTTTTTGGCTCTCAATCTGTCTGTGCGGCATAGTAGTTACTTTTCTTGTTGCTATGACAAAATGCCTGACAAACCAACTTCAAAGAAGGGTTTTTGTGACTTGCACAGCAGGAAGTCAGACAAGCCCTGGGGACACTATGCTGGGTGCAGTGGTATTCATGCAAGCCTTCTGCAACCTTATTGATGGCTATTTTTCAGCGAGTTCCACCACCTGCAGGTTTAGGATTTAGATTCCTCCCTCAGCTGCTGGGAGTTGTTAGGGCTAGCCTGGAGTAGGCCAGTAGAGGATATAGACTACAGGCTGGCTGCTGGTTCTAGAACAGTCTCAGTGTGAAGGTAGTGGGTGTTTGAATACTGCCCCAGCTAAGGCTTGGTTTTTCTCATCACTGAGATGGGAATAACAAAACCAGAGACCCCTGCTGAGAGCTGGCTGGATGCCAGACACTAGGCTAAATACTCAGCTTGCTTCTTCTTTTCTTCTTCTTTTTTTTTTTTTATCTGCATTGCAGGCCATTTTTATCCCCATTCTCCAAGGACAAAGAGAAAGATCACTTGTCCTAGATTGTGACAGAATCTAGACTTACTCCAGGTAGCCTGGCTCCAGAGTCTAGGCCATAGCACCCTTGCTGTGGAATTCTCTGATGAGCCCTGGCAGGATAGATACCCTCACCAGCTCCTGAAGGTCCTCAGAGAATGATTCTTCTTCAGTCACACTAACACTCCTGCACCATATGCTCTACAGAAGTGGAAGCCAAGGGTGACACAGACCGGCTCACCCTGGAGGTGCTGAAGGGCCTGGTAAACAAGCCCGAGCTGCTGAAGTTGACAGAGAGCCTCACCCCAGACCAGACGGTGGCATTCTGGATGCCTGAGTCAGAGATGGAGGTCATGGAACTCGAACTGGGGACTGGAGTGCGGTTAAAAACTCGGGGTGATGGCCCCTTCATAGGTGAGCAGTGGGACTCACTTTGCCTGTTCCCATAGAGGCCCCTGGTCACCTTTCAGAGGCCCCCAATCTCTTTTGCTTAGAGCAATGGAAGAAGGCCAGGTCTGGTCTCCCATAGGACATGACCTGTGACCTTGAGATTTACTTCCAAATCTGTAGCCAACTGCTCTGGGGCCATTAGACTAGATACACTATATCTCAGGGTATCATCTAACTCCTTTCCTGTGGCTGACCCTTACTCTCTAGTGATTTGGGAGTTCCACCAAGAACCTTGGTGGTCACACCAGAGGATAAGCCAACCCAGACTTAGAAGGTTCAACCCAGACTTAGAATGGATGACCTTATGCTGACTAATCTACAAGGAAAAAGGCCATTAAACTTCTCTTTTTTCAGATTCCTTAGCCAAACTGGAGCTGGGGACGGTGACCAAATGTAATTTTGCTGGTGATGGAAAGACAGGAGCATCCTGGACAGACAATATTATGGCCCAAAAGTCTTCAGAGAGGAACACAGCAGAGATCCGAGAGCAAGGAGACGGGGCGGAGGATGAGGAATGGGTAGGTGAAGGGGACAGCTGTAGAACTGGACCTGGCACTGTTGTGTGTCTTAGTGGGAGTTTTACGCATACAGGATACAGCTGAGGTTGAAGGAATGGAAGGCAAGATAAATTCTGTGTGATTCCCAAGAGGGTGTTAGCATCAGGGAATTAACAGAGGTGACAACCTAAGACATTTCTTGCTGGAGGATCCGAACTGCTCTATGGACAGACACAAAGCCCCAGAGATGTATAAAAGCAAGGGTGGGAAGAAAAGATTACAGAAGGAACCAGGGACTGTCATTTAGTTTGGAAAGATCCTCTTGAAGTGCTACATTAATCATGGGCTGGTCCCTGAGTAACCACATGTTTTTTTCTCCTTAGTCTAGACTGGGAAGCACTAACGTTTCCTGTGCTGAGGGTTAGCATCCTCCTTAGTTCTCAGCTTAAATTTAGTTGTTTATCTCAAGTGTATTCACCTGAAGATTTGAACTGTTACCTAGAGCCTCCAAATAGAACATGTAGAGCAAAGAAACTGCAGAAAATTTCACCTCAGAAATGACATGGACAACTTTGACCAAAGGTCAGGAGAGGGAGTGCAGTGGGTCTGGGCTCCCAGCTGACAAGTGGTGGAGTTGCTGGGCAAGCTCTGGAGCCAGCTCTAAGGAGGTGTGGCCAAGGCAGTGGCTGAAGGCCCCATGAATACCACAGGCCCAGACCCTCATCTGAAGATTGTCAGAAGATTGTTATCAGCTTTACTCACATCCCTTGACTTGGGGTCTTTGTCTTGTCTCCAGGATGATTGAGGTGCCTCCTCTCCTACCAGCATCTGTGATGGTGTCTCTGAGAAGTGGCCATACCAACTTCTACCTTGGGGAGATCAGTCTGTCAAGCTGAATATCATTTAGCACACTCTGATGAAATCAAATCTAAGACCTCAATACTCACGAAGGGTCTCCAGCTTTTGTATGACTGTGTCCCTTTCTGGATGGAAGGCTAGTTTTCCTAGACCTATTTCCAGTGTTCCTTTCCTTAGGTGGTGGACATGTACTGGGTGAGTCCTAGTTAGTTCTCAGCTTACATTTGGTTGTTCATCTCAAGTGTATTCACCTGAAGATTTGAACTGATACCTAAGGCCTCCAAATAGAACATGTCCAGCAAAGATGCTGCAGAAGGTACACAATTGACAAAAAGTCTGAGTTCAGAGGGACTCCAAGGGGAAGAGAGAGGGCTCCTTCCATCCCTGTGGGTTTCTCCTTTCCTTGCTTTCTACCCTGTGCCAGCTTTTTGTTGTGCCTCTGTTCTCCTGTTCCAGTCTTCCTTGGCCTGTTCTTCCCTGCCCCACACCCAAGATACCACTTCTTTATCTCTATTCAGCTCTGTGCCTCCGTGGGGTTTCTTGCCTTAGACCTCTGTCTTAGGGTTCTTACTGCCCTGATAAAACACTATGACCAAAAGCAACTTGGGGAGGAGAAGATTTATTTTACTCACAGTTCCTTATAACAATTCATCATCAAAAGCACTGAGGGCAGGAACTCAGGCAGGGCAGGAACTTGGAGGCAGGAGCAGAGGCCATGGTGTGCTGCAGACTGGCTTGCTCTGCCTGCTTTCTTCTAGAACCCAGGACCACCAGCCCAGAAATGGTACTACCTACAATAGGCTGGGCCCTCTCCTATCAACCACTAATTAAGAAAATGTCCTACAGTCAGATCTCATGGAGATATTTTCTCAATAGAGGTTCCCTCTTTCATGGTACTCTAGCTGCTGTCAAGTTGACATAAAGCTAATCAGCATAGACCTATCTGGCTGCTGTCCTAAAGATACCACTCTTGGGAAGGCCTACAGCCTTTCCAGCTGTGTCTGGCTGGTCCACAAGTCTTGACTCGTTTCACCGGGTCAATTTTTTATATCTTTTTTTTATTATTTTTTTTAAATAGTGCTGGTACTCAAACCTAGCGCTTCATGCTTGCTAGGAGAGTGATCTACCACAGTTTATACATCAAGTCTGGACCATATTTTTTGGTATGACTATTTTTGTTTTGTACTTGGAGAACTTTTTATGGGTGAATACTCCAGGAAAGACTTCCTCCACAGTACTGGGTTCTTGTCTGGTGTTAATGGTCTTCTAGCTGAACTACAACCCTAGAAGAGAACCCCAGTCTTTGGTCATGAACATTGCCTCATTGGGTAGTGTGCCCCTGCTCGGCCCTGCGACAAGATCTGGAATGGAAGTCTACATGTCATGATTTAATTCTACATAGCCATGGCAGGTGTATGCATCCTGCTTGTGATCCTGGGAAGAAGGGTGGAGGAGGACAGGGATTACTGATTTGACTTCATGTGTCAAATGCAATGACAGATGCTTTCTGTGACCAGTACTGACAATACTGAGTTCTTCCTGATGCTAGTGCTTATGTTAAGTACTTGGACTAGTCACAACAATCCTATGATGTACATAGGATTGATATCCCCATTTTTGATACATAAGACTAAAGCTTTGAGGCTCTATGAAAAGTGTATATTGCCAGGGAAAGGAATTTACTACATCCAGGCAGTCAGTTATTTTTCCTGAGGGAGGATCTCATACGGTTCAGGTTGACCTTGAACTTGCTATGTAGCTGAGGATGACCTTGACCTTGATCCTCCTGCCTTTACTTTCCCAGGGCTGGGATTACAAGCATGCAACCAAATGCCTGGATGATATGGTGCTGGAGTTCACACTAGGGCTTTGGGTGTACTAGGCAAATACTCTACCACCTAAGCTGTATCTCCAGTCCTAAAGTCCACACCCCACTCCCACACCCACTTGTTTTTTTTTTGGTTTTTGTTTTTTTTTTTTTGGCAAGGTTTCGGTATGTATCCCTGTCTGGCCTTGAAGTACAGAAATCTGCCTACTTCTGCTTTCTGTATGCTGGGATCAAAGTCCACATTTTTGATCACCAGACTTCTGTTTCCACATGCAAACCACAAAGGAGGAAGAGAGATTCAGGCAGGTCAGACAACTCTCCCAGTTTCTAAGGGATGGAGCCAGGATTCAAGTCCAGAGCTTAGTCCCTTCCATTGTTCCCCGCTTCCTTGGCCACAAAAGGTTTTTGGATATAGGGGAAAAAGGATGTAGAATCACATCATTGGTGTCCTGTATCCGGGGTGGCTTGCAGACTAGTCATGATGGGCCTTACTCTTGAAGGTTGTGGGGAATATGGTTATCCATGAGGGTATCCAGTAAGAGATCACTGTGGTTTGGTCTGCAGCAAAGACAGAGACAAAGAAGAGAGTGAGAAAAGGGCCCATGCCCAGAGGTATGTAGAGAGCAGAATCAAGTCCCAGGAAAGAAGAAGGAGTCAAGAAGGATGCTCATATTCTGGTGTGCAGAAGTGATGGGTTGCATAAGATTGTTTAGCAGGAGCCCAGCCTGAGGCTAGGCTAACCAGACTCCTGGGGAAGGTAAACCAATGTGTTCTGTAGAAAAGAATAGGATTTCAAAGACTGGCAGGAAGTTCATGCCTATAATCCCAGTGCTTGGGAGGCGGAGGTATAGACAGGGTTGCTGTCAGTTTGAGGCTAGACTGGGCTACAGATTGAGACCCTCACTTCACAAACCCAATACCAAAATCCATGCAAGCAAACAAACACCAAACAACTGTTAAGACGGCTCTGTGAGTCAAAGTGCTTGCCACCAAGCCTGAAGCCGAGTTCGATCCCCAGAACTCACTTGGTGGAAGAGGGAACCAACTCCATCAGTTTGCTGACTGCAATACTCATGCACACAGTAGAATATGGGCTCCCCTGACACACACACACACACACACACACACACACACACACACACGAAAAAAAAATGATGGCTTGGCTCAAACTGTGTAGGGTCCTACAGTACAGGCTCATCTTGGTACCCTGAATAGCTGAGGCCATAATTTCATTCTGTCCTGTTAATAATTGTTATTATCTTGGTTCTTTAATATGTCTACATGTGAAGTTTGGATGTCACTTTTTCCATTATTGTCATCACTGTCAAAATACATAGTCATATTTTTTGGTGACTATTTAGACCAGGGTGATCACAAATTCCTGGAGATCTGCCTGCCTTGGCTTGCACAGTGCTGAGGTCAAAGGCACTCTCCATCAGCCGGCTCCTCATTGCATTTTTGATGATTTAGAAACAAGTTTCCAGAGTTAGATCACTGGAAATCGGCACCGTTTGTAAAATTCTTGTCATATTACCAAATTGCTTCCCAAAAGGGTTGTTTTAGACTGCAATCTCAGAAGCAGTGGAGGAGAGAACCAATGCCAGGCTACTTTGGCCAGAATTGGGGATGAAGATTTTGAACAAATATTTGATAAAGTGAAAATTATTAAATATACTTAATTTGCCTTTTTTGCTTGCTTGTTTGTTTTTTGGTTAGATTTATTAGTGTGTGTGTATGGAGGTCAGAGCTCAATTAGGTGTGTTCTCTGATCATGTAGGTTCTGGGATCCAAATCAGGTCATCAGGATTGGCAGCAAGCATCTTTATCTGTTGAGACATCTCACTGGTCCTTGCATCTATTTCTTTTGTAACTCCCTTTGAAGAATGACTTTCAACTTCTGCCTCTATCTCCGGAGTATTACAGCTGTGTGCTGTCATACCAGCTATCGTGCTGGAGACCAACCCTGGGTTCTGTGTAAGCACTCCACCACCTGTGTTATATCCCAGGCTTTATCATTATCATACACTTTCACTGTTATTAATGTTGTGTGGGAACATAAGTGCACATGTGCCACAGAAATTAGAGACAATTTTTGAAAGCCAGTTCTCTCCTCCCTTGGGTTTTGGGCATCAAACTCAATTTGTCAGGCTTAAAAGGCAAATGAGTCTGCCTGTGGAGTCATCTCCCAGGCACTTATTCTGTTTTTTCCTTACCTCTTTAATCCACTGTGGCCCTAAGTTAAAGTATGAAAGAACTAACCTGCTTTTTCCTCAAGGTATTAATCAGTTATCTCAACAACATTTGTTGAATTCCTTCCTACAGCCAAACTATGATGTCCCCACATCACATATTAAAATTATTTCATCCCAACGGCTGGAAAAGATTACTTCTCTTCCAAATGACTGGAGTTGCTCCCAGCACTCAGTTCAGCTGCCTGTAAACTCCAGTTCCAAGGTGGCTTCTTCTGGTCTCTGAGGGCACCTGAACCCATATACTCATACCAACATGCGGACACGTACAACATAATTAAGATTAAATCTTTAAAATTGTTTACCACAGATTATTGTGTTATAGTTCAGTAATACATCTCCCTTTAATTACGATTTGTGAGGTAAAGGCACTGTCAAGTCTTATGACTTTTACATTAGAACTCTGGGACTTACACGGCAGGAGCAAAGTTATCCTCTGATTTCAACAAATGCACCATTGCAGGGGCGTGAGTTCTCTCCAGTAAACATATAAGTGTAACTTTAAAACATACTTCAAGCCGGGCGGTGGTGGCGCACGCCTTTAATCCCAGCACTTGGGAGGCAGAGGCAGGCGGATTTCTGAGTTCGAGGCCAGCCTGGTCTACAGAGTGAGTTCCAGGACAGCCAGGGCTATACAGAGAAACCCTGTCTCGAAAAACCAAAAAAAAAAAAAAAAAAAAAACCATACTTCAAATTATCCTACTTGGTTTGATTGGTGGGCAAATCTGGTTCCTTCTTGTTACTGTTTTAGAATTGTCTTTGATATTTCTGCCCAACATCTGAATCATTTTGTCACGCTTCAATGCAATAGTCCTTTGAATTTTTATTTACTGAAAACCCAGGGACGAATGTGGTGGTGCAGGCTTTTAATCCCAGCATTTAGGAGGCAGAGGCAGGTGAATCTCTTGAGTTCAAAGCCAGCCAGGGTGACACAGTGAGACTCTGTTTCAAGAAAAGATAACATATAGACAAACAAACAAACAAACAAACAAACAAACAAAATGAGAAAAGGTGTTACCAGTTAGGGATCATTCCTTTTAAATGGGATTGGATGAGATCTCTTGTGATACCAACTTTGACCATCTAAAGGAGAGAATGACTATTTGAACTAGCAGACTTTTGCCTAATTCATTGCAACATTGTAATAACGAAAAATAAAACCCTAGCTTTGGTTGGCCCAAGGTTAGAAGAAGCCACAAAAGCACCCTCCTTGTCCCTCAAACTGGCACGGCTGCTGGCAGGAATTGCCAGTCTGGATCCTTGTTGCCGACGCGGTTGGCTCCAGGATGGAACCAGAAAGAGGGGCTCAGTCCTAGCCAGGCTTGAATTGGTTATCAGGCTGGCCAAGGCGATCCTGGCTGGCTTTGAACTCAGAGATTCGCCTGCCTCTGCTCCAGGGCTTCTACCGCTGTGCTGTACAGGCGAGCGCGCGGACCTCCCCAGGGTGCCAGAGCCGCCGGACCCCGGAGTACCGAGACTAAGTTTCCGGGAGCAGCTAACAACAGGACACCAGCCGGAAGTGTCCGTGTTGTCCCGGAAGAAGGTGCGTTCTGGGAGCAGCTGGTGCCGAGAGAAGCGGGACCGGCAAAGATGATTCAGGCGATTCTGGTTTTCAACAACCATGGGAAACCGCGGCTGGTCCGCTTCTACCAGCGTTTTGTGAGTGCGGCCCGACCCACCACGCCCCTGCGGAGCACCCGAGCCATCCCTTCCCCACGGCCCACAGCGCTCGGCGGCACCTCGGGCTCTGGCACTGTGCATGACCCACCCCCCTGCTCCTCCCTCATCCTTCTTGGTCTCGGATTTTCAGTGCTTTGTGACACTTTCCCTTGGGTCTTAGGGCCAGACGCAGGGCACAGTGCCTAATTGAGATCCTGGATGACAGAAGCTTCTGTCTTTTAAGTTTTGTGGGGTTTTGTTTGTTTGATTTTCTTTTCTTTTTAAATTGATGAGCGTAGTTTTGTGATGGTCCGGTGGTTGGGTTCTTTAGTTTATATTTTCTCAAGGGCGTGGAGAGAAGTTCTTCTCTGGAATCGCTTGCTTCATCACTGGCTGGATTTATCAGGGTTGGGCTACTTTTTATCCTGTAAGGTTACAGAAAGTCTCTTTGAAAAGTGGGGGAAAATGATATATTACAAGATGCCCGTTGTAGTGGAGAACACCTCTAAGCTCAGAACTCGGGAGATGGAGGCGTGAGGATCAGGACTTCAAAGTTATCCTCAGATACACAGCTAGTTCTAAGCCAGCCTGAGCTATACCCATCCGTATCTCAAGAAACCAAATAAACAAACGAATAAATGCCATCATGGGATGCCTCAGCAATGTTCAAGCAAATTTGAATTCTCTAGAAACATTTCCTTTAGGAAAATGAAAATGACATTATTTGCCTCCTGTTCCCCAACATTTTATTTGTGGTTAGGTTTCAAAATATCTGAGAGACTGGTTAAGCCCGAGAAGGAATGGAGTCAGAAAACCTTCAGACTTCAGCTCCATGCCTTCTACAGGTTAAGAAATGTCACTGGGCCTTTTATTCCTTTTTTTTTTTTTTTTTTTTTTTTTTTAGGTTTTTCGAGACAGGGTTTCTCTGTGTAGCCCTGGCTGTCCTGGAACTCACTCTGTAGACCAGGCTGGCCTCGAACTCAGAAATCCGCCTGCCTCTGCCTCCCAAGTGCTGGGATTAAAGGTGTGCGCCACCACCACCCGGCCATTTATTCCTTTTTTTTTTTTTATCATAGTAAAAAATTGCTTTTTAAGATAGGACTATCCAACTACATTTTTTAAAAAGAGCACTTCATATAACTTCAATTTGTGTGTGCATTTCTTTCTCTTATTTTCTAAGTTTTATGAGCTATAAATCACTGTACAGCTACTTAATGTGTGCGCTTTGGTGGCATCTGTCACAATTTGAGAACGTTTTTATCTCTACTAAAGAAACTTACTGTTATTAGTTACCTACCCTGTCCCTAAGCAAGCACTTACCTACTTTCTCTTTGACTTACTAAGACATACTCAAGTTTCTGTATTGTAGTGTGTGTGTGTGTTTTATTTGTTTTTAAGCAGGATCTCATTAGGTAGCTCAGGCTGTCCCAGAACTGGAGATCCTTCTGCTCAGATGGGCCTGATGGTGGGCACATGTCTATAATCACAGCACTTGGGGAACTGAGGCAGGAGAATTGTGAGTTCAAGACCAACCTTGGCTACATAGTGAAGACATTATAAGCAACAAAAATAAAACCCTATCAACCAACCACTGAAAGAGAAGAGATGCTACCACAGCCCTCCACATCCTGGAGTTACAGGCATGTGCCACCATGCTCTGCTGGTCGTGCGTGTTTTCCATTAATTGCTCTGAACATTCATAGGTTGAGTTTTAGTACGGACATTTCTTTTTCTTGGTTTTTTGTTTTTGTTTGTTTTTCAAGACAGGGTTTCTCTGAGTAGCCCTGGCTGTCCTGGAACTCACTCTGTAGACCAGGCTAGCCTCGAACTCTCGAACTCAGAAATCCGCCTGCCTCTGCCTCCCAAGTGCTGGGATTAAAGGCGTGCGCCACCACCGCCCGGCCTGGACATTTCTTTTTATTTCTCCTACTTTATATGTAGTAGTAGAGTCATTAGGCCACATGATAAGTATGTGGTAAACTTTTTAGGAAACTGGCAGGTGTTTTCTGAGTAGTTGTTCCCTTTCATATTGCTATCAACAATGTATCAGCATTCCAGTTTCATCATGTCTCCTCCAATGTTTATCTCTTTTGTTTGTTTTTGTTTTCTGAACTAGGAAGTGAATTCAGAGCATCCCTCATTCTAGGCTATCCTCTACCACTGAGCTACATGAGCCTAGCCATGTTGTCTTTAATTAAAGGCATTGTAGTGGGTGAAAATGGATCTCCTTTTTCAATGGTTTTGATGTCTGCTTCCAGAGTGACTAAGGATGCTCAGCACCTGCCTTGTGCTTATTGGCTGTTTGTGTATCTCTGAAGATTATGGAATTGTTTAAAGACTGCTTGAGTGAGACTCCCTTGAAAATTGCCATGTAGTAAAAAGATAGGACGGGTTGTTAAAGTAACTGGGGCATGTAAGCAGTCGCCAGTTTGCCTTTTTGTTGAGCCAGGACTTAGTTGGCCTCGTTGTTTGATACCACCACCCTGTCCCCACTTTTCTCCAGTTCCACCTATAGGTAGAGAAAGGGCTTTAGTTAGAAAAATAAATGTTTCGTCAGTTTACATAAGTGCTGATGCTTAGTATGCTTTGTATTTCTGAGCACACAGAGTTAATCTTTGACAACATCCTAGCAAATGTGAGCTTGGTGTGTTGTTCACATGGAAACCAGAAAGATAGTGATTGATTTGTTCCAATTTGTGGGCCAGTGATTAGCAAGTTTGCATTCATGCATTCAGTAGATACTGAGAGGTTTTCAGAACCCACACTGAGCCAGTCATTTCCTCAAGGTGATTAGTTCTCTGGTTTTTTTTTTTTTTTTTTTGTGTGTGTGTGTGTGTGTGTGTATCCCCCTCTCTCCCCTTTAATAGCTTTTAAAGAACTGGCCATTTCAAAGCTAAGTTCACTGGTGTAGAACAAAAGGGATTACATTTTTTAAATGTGTCTTTCTGGTTTAAGGAAGATTCAAGGTGAACATTTTGCTTACGCTGTGCAGTCCAGAGTGTAGTCCCCAGGCCTGAAGCATTGCTGTTTGTGGGAGCTTGATAGAGCAGCAGTCCCAGTCAGGTCCCAGCCCAGGCAGATTAAAGCAGAACCACATTTAAACATTATCCCCAGCTGACTCATCAGACAGCACCATGTGAGAAGACTGACCAGAGGGTTTACATTATTCATAGATTTATTTATTTTAAGTGTATGAATTGTTTTGCCTGCATGTATGTGTGTACCACATGTGTACCTGGTACCCGTGGAGGTTAGAAGATAGTGTTAGATCCCTTGGAACTGGATCTATTGATGGTTGTCAGCCATCACCTGGCTACTGGAAATTGACACCCGGGCCCTCTGTAGGAGCAACAAATCCTCTTAATGGCTGAACCAATTCTCCAGTTCCTGATCTAGAGAGTTTTATTGTTATTGTTGTTGTTGTTGTTTGTTTGTTTGTTTTCCAAGACATGATTTCTCTTTGTGGCCCTGGCTGTTTTTGAACTCACTGTAGACCAGGCTGGCCTCTAAATCACAGAAATCCATCTGCCTCTGTCTCCCAAGCATTGGGATTAAAGGCATCTACCACCATTGGTCTAGAGTTTTTAACTACCTCTGTTTTCCCAATAATCCTCTGTGAGTAAAACAGCATCTTGTATGCAGTACTGGTATTAAAGTAAAAATGACAAATTTATCGTTTGAGACGTGCGTGATTACATCTTTACCTTCATATAGTTCTGGAACTTTGAGTTGTTAAATACTCAGTATTGATGTCATTCAGAGGGTTGGGGTCAGATTAAGAAAGGGAATTGAGGATTTTTCTCAGATTATAGGTTCCAATTCTTTATTTGACCCTGAGCTTGCCTGTAAGATATAAAGGCTTGTGACTGAAGTATTTAGGTAAATAAGCCCATGTCAGTCGCAGTAGCCTTGTTTTTCCCATAGTTACTCTCTGTCTTCTGTGTGCTTATGCATGAGCTTTTCCAGTTGTGCCCCATGTAGAACCCCTTCTTTATTGATTGATTGGTTGGTTGATTGATTGCACATTGGTATGAGAGTGTCAGATCCCCTGGAACTGGAGTTACAGGCAGTTGTGAGCCTCCATGTGAGTGCTTGGAATTGAACCTGGGTCCTCTGGAAGAGTGCCCAGTGTTCTTCATTGCTGATCTCTCTAGCCCAGAGTCCCTTCTTTACAGATCTGTTCTTGTTGATTGGTGCACCGTTTCCTCACCGGCCCCTGACTCTTCTTTTTCTTGTTGTTCCATAGCCAGAAGAAATTCAACAGCAGATTGTTCGAGAGACGTTCCATCTGGTCCTCAAGCGAGATGACAACATCTGTAACTTCTTAGAAGGTGGAAGGTAAACCATCAGCTTCAGGTGGCCATCTCTCTACTCCCCCAGCTCCACTATGGGTGGCCTTCATTGTATCATTTCTTCTAGTACCTGCAGGGGTCACTGGACCTGGTGCAGCATAACCTATTCTTTTGTTTGGTGGGTTTTTTTCGGGGGTGGGGAGGGGGCGAGGTTGTCAAACACAACTAGGTCTCTGTATAGCCCAGACTGGCCCTGTACTCAGAAGTCTGCTTGCCTTCTACAGCTAGGGTTAACAGTGCGCACCACTAATCAGACCCATGTACCCTGTCCTCAGCATGAGCTGCTCAGGGAGACACCGGACGGATTCTTTGGGAAACACTTGCACTGAGCTTCAGCCATCACTGAATTTTTTTCTTTCTCCTTTTATCTATTTATTTTTATTTTATGTGCATTGGTGTGGGTGCTGGGAATTGAACCTGAGTCCTCTGGCAGAGCAGGCAGTGCTCGTAAGCACTGAGCCATCTCTGCAGCCCCTGGTCATCACTCTGATGTCTGGTCACTGGCAGGATAGGCAAGAGAAAGGTAAAGGTGGAGTCAAGGGGCCTCAGGTTCCCCTCCACACTCAGTTGCTGTTCCTGTGGAATGCCTGCTCTTCTTTGTTAGGCCCATTCCCACTCTTTGGTGCATGGTGTCTTTGATAAGTTTATTTAAGATTTGGGTTCTCAACTGCTACTACCATCTTCCACAGTTTGATTGGTGGCTCTGACTACAAACTGATTTACCGGCACTATGCTACCCTCTACTTTGTGTTTTGTGTGGATTCATCAGAGAGTGAACTTGGGATCTTGGACCTCATCCAGGTACATGTAATCATAGACTAATAGCAACAACTTTCTGAGTTTGCATGGGGGTGGGGGTCATTCAGTAACCATCCTCTGGGTCCTTTTTTTCAGTTTCATTGATATCTATAAGAGTTACCAGGGGCTGGAGGGATGGCTCAGCAGTTAAGAGCACTGGCTGCTCTTCTAGAGGTCCTGAGTTCAATTCCCAGCAACCACATACTGGCTCACAACCATCTATAGTGAGATCTAGTGCCTTTTTCTGGCCTACTGGCATGCATGCATGCAGGCAGAATGTTGTATACATAATAAATCTTAAAAAAAAAAAAAAAGAAAAGCCGGGTGGTGGTGGCGCACACCTTTAATCCTAGCATTTGGGAGGCAGAGACAGGCGGATTTCTGAGTTTGAGGCCAGCCTGGTCTACAGAGTGAGTTCCAGGACAACCAGGGCTATACAGAGAAACCCTGTCTCAAAAAAACAAAACAAAACAAAAAACAACAACAACAAAAAAAGAGCTGCTAGCTGTCCACCAGGTGGTGCTCTGGGAACGCGCCTGAGCTACCTTCCATAACTTAGCTGTTAAATACTGGTTTCTACCCAGCCCTCACACTGCACTTGGTTATTGATGTTTTGAATTTTCTTTCAGCTCTGAAACCAAATTATTTTTAAGTATTTATGCTTCCTGTGTGCAAGACACATGCGTTTGTGTTTGCACAGATACTGTGGAGGCCAACAGTTGACATTCAGTGTCATCCTCAATTGCTTTCCACCTTATTGTTTGAGATAAGAGTCTTTCACTGGACCTGGAGCTGCTGATGCTGCTGAGACAGACTTGCCAGCCGATCTCGGGCATCATGTCGTCCTTGCCTCCCCAGTGCCAGGGTTTGCCGCATGGGCTTTTTGTTTGGGTTCTGGGAGAGCAAGCTCACGTCCTTATGTTTGTGCAGCAAGCACTGTACAGACAAAACCATCTCCCCAGTCCTGAGTAGTTAAACATTTTATTTTTACTTGCAATGGTGGCCTAAAGCCAGGGTATGGAACATCCACAGTTCCTTCTTCCCTAGTTTACTTTCATGACCAGTTTCAAGAGCAGGAGTCCTCTTAAGGAGGAGTCTAAAGGTGCATAGAAAACAAAAGCGTCTCTTACAAAGCGGAGTGGAAGTTGACAGGTGGCGCAATCCCAGTCCTCAGGAGGCCAAAGCAGGAGGGGTATTATGGGGAGCACAGGGGCATTGTGGGGAGCACAGTACTCAAGGCAGGGGTATTACGGGGAGCTCTTGGGTGCCTTTTGTGAACTTTCAGTCTTGAAGATGAAAGGGTTTTTAAACAGACTTAGAACAGAACTGCATAGGACAGGTCTGCTGAATTCGAAAGAAAAAATAACAGGACTGACATTGCTGGAAATCTCAGGAGCTACCAGATGAGGGAATGGAGAAGATATCAGAAAATCAGGCACCAGCCCTTATGCATAGAAGGGGTGAACAACAGCTGGAGGCCCCATCTCAAACAAGATAGTGAGGACCAACACCTGAGGTTACCCTCTGACCTCTACATGAAAGTCATGCTTTTTGAGTTTCAGGTCAAGAAAGCATTGAACTTCCTGTTTCTACAAAAACAGCTAGAAATTTCATAGTTAAAGAAAGTATTAAATAGCGACTAAGGGGAGTATTTGAAAATTCACCTATTATGAATTACCTGATATTGAGTCTGATAAAATTACAAAGTTGGACCAGCTGTAGTGGTGCATGCCTGTAATCCCAGCCCCCTGGGAAGCAGAGGGAGGAGGATCATTGCCAAGCCTAGGGCTCCACCTGATCTACGTAGTGAGTTCCGGCCAGCCAGTAGACCAGTGAGGATCCGGTGAGATCCTGTCTAAAAACAGAACAACAACAACAACAACAAAAAACAAATGTTGTAAAATCATAACAGCAAGACATAAAGTAACATTTGGAGTAAATACAGCTTTTCCTTGTTGGGAGGTCAGGTAGAGACAACAGCAGCCTCAAAGATGGACTCAGTGGATTAGATAGGGAAGCAGGTGCAGTTTCTTCAGGGAGCCTTCAAGAGCTCAGGGAAGGGAAACTCAGGGAAAGTGAAGTACCGAGTGGTGTGTGTGCGAGCACAGTACAGGCCAGTAAATGAGGAAAGCTAACAACAGCTCAGATCCCACCAACTGAAAATACTGCATTTACTTGTAAAATCATTTTATTATAAATGTCTATATTTAATCACAGTGTGAGTGCTATGGTGTCTGTTTAGAGGTCTGTCTTATTAGGGTTTCTATGGCTGTGATAAAACACTATGACCAAAATCAGCTTGTGGAGGGAACGGTTTATTTCAGCTTGCACTTGCACATCAGTCCATTACTGAGGGAAGTCAGTACAGAAACTCAAGCTGGGCAGAAACCTGGAGGCAGGAGCTGACGCAGAGGCCATGGAGGACTGCAACTTATTAGCTTCCTCTCTATGGCTTGCCTTTTTATGTCATTCAAGATCACAAGCCCAGGAGTGGTGCTGCCCACAGTGAGTGAGGTGGGTCTTCCCTCTTGCCCACAGGCCAATGTGGTAACTAGGTAGTGTCAAGTTGACATAAAACTTGGCAGCACGAGGTCAGACTTACCTTGTTGGAGTCAGTTCTCTCCCTCTACCCTGTAAGTCCTGGAGATGAACTCACTTTGTCAGGCTTTACAGGAGCCATCCTGCTGGCCCTGTGCTTTTGTTCTGTACTATTACAGTATTTGAATTCCTGAGGTTTTTATGACAAATTCCCATACATAGTAAGAAAAACAGTGTTTGTTATTGGCATTTTCTCAGAGTGTTCTTTTATTATTTTCCAGAAAAAAGTTGATTTGGTATATGTAAGGGAAGAAATTTCCAATTTAGTATAATTTCCCAGTACTAATGGACTTGAGTTGTCAGGTTATAAGGATTCACCATTGAGCAGTATTGTGGTGATTGAAAACTATCTCATATTTACCTGCAATTCTGTTTGGTTTTGTTTCTTTAAGACAGGGTTTTTCTGTATAGCCCTGGATATCCTAGAACTTGAGTTGTAGATCAGGCTGGCCTCAAACTTAGAGATAGCCTGACTGTGCCTCCCAAATGCTGGTGTTTGATGTGTTTGCCACCACTGTCTGGCTTTAACTGCTATTTTTAAACAACAACAAAAAACTGTATTACTTAAATATACAAAGAGTTATAAATCGTGCCACTATGAAATGTCTGTGTCTGTTTTTGGTATTACATCTGCACATCTCTCTGTAAGGTATACACCTGAGGAGTACAGTTGCTAGGTCCTAGAGTATTAATACTTAATGGCCAGCCGTTTTCCAGTGTTTGTTTTCCAATAGAAACCATGTACCAGTTATCAGTCCCAGGTCAGGATGTCAGACACTTTTGCCCATTGCATCTTGCTATCAACATCATCAAGGAAAAAGTTGAGCTCTGGATGGAATAACAGTTTGCCAACTAACAAAGGCAGAAATTGGTACCAGGATGTGGGGTATCGCTGTGGCAGACCCAGCCACGTGCTTTTGGTAATACTGTGGTGGCATTTGAGATGTGGGCTGGAAAAGCCATAGAGTGCTCAGAGCCCAGGCTTGTCTGTGGGAGCTTGGAAGATAAGAATGTTGAGAGGTGCAGATGATAGAGGCCTAGCTTGTGAATTTCAGAGGAAGGAAAGACTGTCAAGGCCATTTGTATGCTACTTTGAATTAAGTATCTGTTTCTAGTTAGCTGGGGATGAAGAATCGGCCATGATTAACAAGAAGCCAGCACCACTGATGTGAACCTTTGCTTTGCTAGGGCAAATGATGTTAGCCAGATGGAGCTAAGAAAGTAGCAGTACTTAAGAAGAGACAAGTGTCACTGAGGTGAAATCTTCTGAGAAGTGTTTTGTTTTTTTAAAGGATCAGTGTACAGAAGCTGTGATCCAAAGAGGGCTAGGGCTGAACCTCATGTTGTAGTCTTGGTGATGAGTAAGAGGCCTCTAGGTGGTACTGGCTCTGAGGGCATGAAGGAGAGCATCTGAGGTTTGGCACCACGAGAGGATAGAAGAGACTGTTGGTGAGGGTGCAGTCAAAATCCCAGAATTGACGGAGTCATGGAGAGAAGCTAAGGCTTGGCACCATGTGGTCGAGTCAGTTCCTTATTGGTGAAGGTGTAGCCCACTTGCAAAGGCCCTAGCAGTTTTCAAATGCCAGCACCACGAGATGGCTATCAAAGAACAGCAGCAGCTGTGAGGGAGCTGGCTTGAACCTACGAGACAAGCTGTGTGTGCTGCTGAGGGCAGAGCTGGAGAAGTGGCTCAGGCCCTTTGGAGCCCAGAGAGTCGTGGGAGATCCCAGACATCAGACACTAAACTTCTTACACTGTTAAATTTTGGTTTTGCTTTAGTCTGATTGTGATTGTGCCCTGGCACTTCCTTTTTGAAATAAGAATGTAAGTTATTTGTTGTTGTTGTTTTACAGGAGTTCACAGTTAAGAGGCTGATATTTTAGGGAGGCTTTGGATATTTTAGAGAAATTTTTGAAGAAAGCTGAATGTTTTAAATACACTGAACTTTTAAAGTGTTTGCATTTTTAAGACTGTAGGACTTTTAAAAGTTAAAATGTTGAAGAAATGGCTCAGAAAAAGGAAGCCTCAAGTGAGAAGATGCCCCATCAGATTGGCCTCTGCGTCAGAAGGACTAGGGTGTGTGCCAGGCTTGCCCCTTTCCACTCACATGTGACATTTGTAAAACAGTGACTGATGTTCTCTTTTTATCGTTTCTTCTTATTCCTTAGGTTTTTGTGGAGACTCTGGATAAGTGTTTTGAAAATGTCTGTGAGTTGGACTTGATCTTCCATATGGATAAGGTATGTCCTCTCCCGGAACTAGAGTTAGGACATCTCCAACCACCGTGCTCTGTCCTGTTCTTTCACTTGCTCTTTTGTTCTGACCTAGTTCTAGAGTCTGTTTTAATTAATTAGTCAATTAATTTTGCAGTACTGGGAGTTGAGTCTAGGGCCTCGCATATGCTAACCAGCTACTCTACCACTGATTCATACATCAAGTCTGAACCTGTTGTTTTTTTTTTTTTTTTTTGGTTTTTCGAGACAGGGTTTCTCTGTATAGCCCTGGCTGTCCTGGAACTCACTCTGTAGACCAGGCTGGCCTCGAACTCAGAAATCCGCCTGCCTCTGCCTCCCAAGTGCTGGGATTAAAGGCGTGCGCCACCAACGCCCGGCTGAACCTGTTTTATTTAGTGAGTTTAATAGTTCTGAGAGGCCAGTGAGATGGCTCAGTAGTAAGGGTATTTGCTTGCCAAGCTTTGATGTCCTGAGTTGAATCCGCAGCATCCACATGGTAAAAGGAGAAAACTGACTACTGCAAATTGTCCTCTCATCTCCACACGTGCTCCGTGATGGCATGTGTGTGCCCCACCCCAGAAAAAACAGATTAAGCAAGCATGTTTTTATCCATCTACTTATTTGTTTGTTAGTTATTTTGTTGTTTGTTTGTTTTTGAGACAGGGTTTCTCTGTGTTCTTAATCTGGCTGGTCTTGAACTCAGAGAACCAACCGCCTCTGCTTGGATTAAAGGTGTGGACCACCACATCTGGCTTTTAATATGTTTTTAAAAAGTTAGATGTTAAATAGTTTTGAGATTTTTTTTTTTTAGATTGTAATGTGTATGTATGTTTTTTGTTGTTGGTTTTTGCTTTCTATTTCTTTTTAAGATATATTTATTTTATGTATATGAGTGCTTTCTCTTCATACACATCAGAGGAGGGCATCAGATCCCATTACAGATGATTGTGAACTACCATACCATGTGGTTGCTGGGAATTGAACTTGGGACCTCTGGAAGAGCAGCCAGTGCTCTTAACTGCTGAGCCATCTCTCTAGCCTGTGTATGGGTGTTTTGTCTGCATGTATGTTTGTACAACAAGTGTGTACCTGATACCCCCAGAGATAAGAATTTTACTGAATCCTCTGGGACTGGAGTTACAGACATTGTAAGCTGCTGTGTGGGTGCTGGAAATTGAACCCAGCTCCTTAAAAGAGCAACCAGTGCTCTTAACTGCTGAGCCACCCCTCCAGCACTGGTGTACTTTGGTTTTTTTTGTTGTTGTTGTTGTGCTAAAGTCTATTAGTTGCTTCGTCACAGAGATTATCACTGGGCCTGTTCTTCCTGGTTGCTGGTTCTTTCACAGGCAGACTTCTTAGTATATGGTAGTTATGACATAAAATAAGTGGCTATATATCCAAAACTGAAATTTTTTTTTTTTTTTTTTTTTTTTTTTTTTTTGGTTTTTCGAGACAGGGTTTCTCTGTGTAGTCCTGGCTGTCCTGGAACTCACTCTGTGGACCAGGCTCGCCTTGAACTCAGAAATCTGCCTGCCTCTGCCTCCCAAGTGTTGGGATTAAAGGCGTGCACCACCACCGCCTGGCCAAAACTGAAATTTTTATATTAGTTATGGAATGAATTTCCTAGACATAGGCTGATAACAGGGAAGCTTTGTAATGATGTAACCTCAGGAACTTTGACAAATAAAAGTTGTATCCTAGGGGGCTGTAGGACTTGGTGGTGAAGAGTGCACATTGCAGTCAGGCATGGTGGTGCATGCTTTAATCCCAGGATTGAGGAGGCAGAGGCACGTGGATTTCTGTGAGTTTGAGGCCAGTCAGGTTTATAGAGTTGAGTTCCAGGACACCCAAGGCAGTTTCACAGAAAAATTCTTTCTCGAAAAAACAAAACAAAACAAAATGAAAAAGGAGTGCATACTGCTCTTTCGGAAGATCCAGGCTTGCTTCCTAGTACCTATGTGGTTACTCAGACTCCAGTCAGGAGAGCTGATGCCCTCTCCTGGGCTCTGCAGATACCCAGCATGCATGTGATATATAGACATACAGGCAAAAAACCTCATGCACATAAAATAAAAATAAATCTTAAAAGACAAAATAAAATCTTTTTTTTTGTTTGTTTGTTTTTTTTGTTTTTCAAGACAGGGTTTCTCTGTGTAGCCCTGGCTGTCCTGGAACTCTCTGTAGACCAGGCTGGCCTCGAACTCAGAAATCCGCCTGCCTCTGCCTCCCGAGTGCTGGGATTAAAGGCATATGCCACCACTGCCGGGCAGGAATTTTTTTTTGTTGTTTTTGTCTTTGTTTTTGTTTTTCGAGACAGGGAGGAATTCTTTTATATATAGACATTTTGTTAATTTATTTCTAGTGTTTTTACTTTTTATGGTTTTTCTGCCCACACTCTGCTGCCCAGGATCTCTAGGGTTGTGTAGGCTAGAAATGGGTGGGGTAACTGGCATCAGGTCTGGGTTGCTGGTTTCCAAAGCACCTCACGCTGTTGCTGTGAAGCGCAGCATTTGCTGTGGGCCTTTTGTAAACATTGTTTATCAGGTGAAGATTCTTCCTTGCTCTTCCTAGTAGCTGGGAGTTTCTGGTCATGAAAGGATATCAGGATTTGTCAGAAGCCCTTCTTCCTCTGTCTCCTGGGTGCCTTTTTGCCTCATCCTTCTGATGCATTTTAAACATCTGTGAGGATGTCTGCTCAGTCAGAAACGTGATTCCAGTTCTGTTTTATTGGGCATGGCTTTTAGAAGGAAGTAAGTGGTCATAAACACGCTGCCCTTTCTCATATGTCTTATCTTCTCATCAGTTCCATAAAACATCTTGCTGCGGCAGCAGATTTCTTCTACTGTTCATACAACTGCTTATTTTTAGCTGTAGGTCGGTACTGGGAAATGACTGCTTGTATCTATTTGTTGTTGAAATCGATGGTAGAAGGAGTCAGAATCCCGACTTAGTCACCCTTAGACTGCCTGAAAGTGTTTCCCAGCAAGCGACTTCACTTTCCTTGCATGTCAGGCTGGCTATCCTCACCCTCACAGAGCATTTGCCATCTCAGGTGTGTTTTGATAGTCAGCTGTTTTGTTTAACTTTTGTAGGCAAAAGGCCTATCTGAAACAGCAAGCTTATCACTGAATTAAATGCTTCTTAATAGAAGAATCTTCTCTTAATTTGAGGCTAGCAGCTCCTGGTGGTAGATTTTGCAGGTCTTCATCATTGCTGGCCCTGGTAGTTGCTCTGCCACCTTTATGCTCATGGGGCTTAGAGCAGCAGGCCTGGCTAGACCACATTTGACTGAATTTCTAGTACTTTTGAAATTTTTCCAATCTTGGCGTTTCTTTTGTTTACTTTGAGAAAAGATCTCATGCCACCTAGGCTGGCCTTGGACTTACTGTGTAGTGGAGGCTAAACTGATAGGTCCTCCTCTCTCCCTACTCCAAGTGTTGGACTTACAGGCACATGCCACCACACCCGTCTTTAATCTTGGGGTTTCATTTTCAGACTTCTAAATTGTTTTTATCGAATCTCATATATTTTATTGCCTCTATCTTCATACCTCCACATTGTCATTCTTTATTGGAGGGAGTTTGCTCCATCCCATTTCCTGTCTCTTTCTGAAGTACGCCATAATCTTGATCCCTAGACGTGCCGCTGTGATGTCACTGGATGAGCCACTGCCTCACAGAGGAGCCTTTCTGCAACACTGCCCCCTCTGCTTCTAACTACATTTTTGTCATTTTGTTCAAGGCAAAGTTTTCCTCCTTCCTTTCCTTCCTTGTTTTGCCCTTCCCCTCCTTTTTCTCCCCTTTCTTTCTTTTACTGTAGTGCAGGACAAGAGCCCAAGGCCCTGCGTGTGCAAGGTAAGAATAGTGGTTTTCCACACCCCTGCACCAGGGTAAATTTCTTGGCTGAGGCAGACCTACACCCATCTTCCATTTTTACTTCATCTCTTCCCCATCACCTATTTTTCACACATACCTCCTATTCTTAGGTGAGTTCCTGATCTCCAGATCTTATAACCATTTCTTGGCCACCACTTTCTTCTTTTTTTAAAGGTTTATGTATTTATTTATTGCCTGTATGTATGGCTGTGTTGAGAGATCCTCTTGAACTGGTGTTATAGACAGTTGTGAGCTGTCATGTAGGTGCTCGGAATTGAACCTGGGTCCTCTAGAAGAGCAGCCAGTGCTCTTAGTTGCTGAGCCATCTCTCCAGCTCTGACCATTACCTTTTTAAGTGTCTCTGTAGTACCTAGTGCTGTGAGCTTTCTATCGGGACAGCTCTAACCACTTGTTACCTCAGAATCTTCCTGAGTTCTCACCTGTTCTCTCCCCTCTTTCATAGATTCAGCTATATCTTGTACTTATTTTATATACTCAAACTACCATATTCCTCCTCTTTCTTCTGTCTTGGAAATAAGGTGTCACTATGTAGCTTTGGCTGGCCTGCAACAGCTTTATGTAGACCAGGTTGGCCTCCAGCTCACTGCCTCTGCTGAGATTAAAGGCATGTGCTAGCACTCAGGAAAACTACTAGTCTTGAAGGTAATTCTCAAATTGGTCTACTTTTGATGTCCTGTTTGTGACAGGATTTCATGTAGCTCATACTGGCCTCAAATTTCCTATGTAACTGAATAGGATCCAGTTCTGAGAGGTAGCCATTGACTCTCTAGACACATCTGGAACATATCTTTGCAGAGGCAGTTGATTCCTCAGTGCTCCCAGCAATCCCTAAACACAGCTCAGCATCCTAAGTATTGGCATTGTGGTAATTGAGTTTCCTTTGTGGAAAACTGAGTGGCTGGCTTAGCATCCTCATCTGCAGCCTCTCAACAGCAAATCAGGTATTGGACTCCAACTGGGTCTTCAAGATTGCGTTATCAGACTCATATCCCAATTCACTGGCTTCGTCCAGGAGCTGGAGCAGCGGCTCTCAGCTGTCCTAATGCTGTGTCCCTTCAATACAGTTTCTCATGTTGTACTGACCCCTAATATTTTTGTTGCAACTTCATA